CAGTCGGTGGATTTCCTAAATAGATTCCTACATCATTTTCAAATAATAGTTCATGTTATCCTTCAACGGAAGAAACTTTTTCAGAAGAAATTGAAGCTTCATGATCAGTTGGGTCAGACACGAGGGTGGTTCCACTTTCAGATTTTTTTTTCTTCTCAAAATAATTTAAAACCGATGGCTGACTTATTCGCTTCATTTTGTTTCTGTTATAATAAAAATATTTAATTTTTTAATATGTAATCTAAGAAAAATTTAAGAAATTAGAATMTCTAGAGTGAAAATAGTCTGCCTAATTAACAACAAAAACATTATAAAATTCGACGTTCAAAAAAATTAAATTTTTATTAGAAACGCTAAACGTATAAATACGTGTGTCGCGAGTAAACTAAAAAAAACGTAGAAGTGACGGCCGTAACAATGTAACATACACCCTATGTACAATTATTATAACACTTATGTACACTTATATTATAAGTRTTACTTAAAATCAATTTAAGTGTCGCCTAAGCACAATTTAAAAAAATAATGTCGCCTATGTCTTCACTTACGTGCAATATACCGGGTGATTMTTTTATCATTGAACACTCATTATTTCAAAAATTACTAATGTTTTTGAAAATATTATTTTACATAGTTTCAAGTTGTTAAAAAACCAACGTTTTTATTAAAAAATTATATTATTAAATATTTTTTATCCTTATCATTTTAGTAGTAATAATATCTTATTTATCGAATAGATCTTTTAGAGTCATGATTATATCACCTTTTATTTTTATTATTCATTAATGATGTTGGTCTTATATTTAAATATTGCAAGTATCTATTAATTGCAGAACATTTAAAAATGTATATACCACTAAGGGATATGAATGAATCAATTCTTTATTTAAAATCATTAGAAGATATATTAAACAATATATTGAATAAATCTTTTAAATAAAAGTTCTCTCTTTTATTATAATATTGATAATGGTTAATGGAGATTTTATATTATACCTAATAC